CACAATGAGCTGAAGTTGCTTAGTCCAAGGCACACTGTCAAACAAATATATCTTTAGCTTATAGATTTCATTTGAAAATAGGGGTGAAGTGATCCAAAGGTTAGCCTTGTAGGAACAATGATGTATTTCCAAATAAACAGAAAAGGTCCATTCATGTTTGTCAAGTCATAAAATTACCCCTAAATGAAAAGGTCTGAAAAAACATTATGGACAAAAATAAATAAATAGACAATATCCTCCTTTTGTTTGTTTGTTTGTTTAAGATTTTATGTATTTATTTGAGAGAGAGAGCATGCTCAAGCATGGGGAAGAACGGAGGGAGAGGTACAACCAGACAATGTGCTGAGTGCAAGGCCAACACAGAGCTTGATCTCACGACCCTGAGATCATGACTTGAGCTGAAATCAAAAGTCAGACGCTTAACTGACTGAGCCACCCAGGCACCCTGACAGTATCCTCCTTTTGACAGTACACTTTCTTTATATAGTCAATTCCATAAGTTTTCTTTTTTTCATCCTGCCTTCTAAATGTTATTGTTCTTGGCCTTTCCTTTTCTCAGGACACGTACTCTCTGGTGATGCATCTACTCTTTACTGTCTTTTTGTTGATGGTTCACATATATCTTTCCTTAGCTCTAGACCTGTATACTCAATTGTGTTGCGAATATTCCTACCAAAATGTCCAATGTATATCTTGTATTCATCTTATCTAAAAATGAATTTCTCTTTCTTACCCACATAGATTACACACACTTTATTTCCACTTTTCTATGTCTTCCCCATATCTATCTAGACTGACAACAGTCTGTATTTTTAGTATCTTCAACAAATTTGTGAAGGTATGAGATCTTTAGGTGGAGAACTAAATAATAGATATGGAAGTATATTTTCCCATGTAGTGCTTAAAGTGGTCATTTTCTCATGTCTGGCCAATCTTCTGTTTCTTCGACCCTCAAAATTTTATACTAGATTGAATCATGTAAAATTACCAATGTTTAAGTTAAAAATAAAAAAGCCAAATATCAGCAATTTCATCTAGTACAACCAAATACTACTTTTATTGTGGTAAGATGACTTCTAAAATTTTTATTTTTAAAGAGAGTAAATATTATAACACTAATAAATACAAACATTGAAGTTAATATGTTTCTAACATAAAACAGAGCTACATCCTAGAGAATTCGCCTTATAATATTCCATTTTCAAGAGAATTTAAAGAGCTTTGGGGTCTTAGATTTTTTTTTTTATCTTGTAACTGCAGTTGTTTCTGCACTGAAAAGAAAATTTGAAACAATACAGATAGATTCTAAACCACAGTTAAAGCAGAGTTGTCAAGTCTAAGAACTTTATATAAAAAAATTTTTAAACATTTTAGTTCCAACTAGGAAATATTCTAATTTTACATTAGTCTTTAGTGAATAAGAAAGATGTGGTTACTTTAAAAAAATAGAACTAGTGTATTTTAGAGTTTTTACTGACTTTTAGAAAAAAATAATACTTTTCAGTTCTAACAAGTGATTTATTATACATAAGGCTTTTTGGCCTTCTGAATTTCTGCTTTAGCCAATGAAATCTATAAATAGACTATTACATATCCTATTTTATAAAAAGTGAAATGTTTTCAGTTATTGTAGAGTTGTCTAGCTCTTAACACACAGCATGTTTTGGCTCTAGGCTTTGTCATTTTCCTTAATGTGTGTTAGACGTAGAATCAGTGTTTTAAAACTTTTTAAATGAAAATTCTTGGTCAAAAAAGTACAAATTGCTGATTATTCTTATAAATGAAGGCTATAGCTTCAATGACTGCTTTGTAGTTCCCCAAGAGAAATGGTTTGGGCTCCGTGGGCCCTACAGACTCTGTCACAACTGCTCAGGTCTGCCTTTGTGGGGCAAAGGCAGCCATAGAGAATAGGTAAACAAGTGGGCATTGCTGTGTCTCGGTGAAATTTACTTACAAAAAGAGGTAGCCAGGGTGCCTGGGTGGTTCAGGTGGTTAAGCGACTGCCTTCGGCTCAGGTCATGATCCTGGAGTCCTGGGATCGAGTCCCGCATCGGGCTCCCTGCTCGGCAGGGAGTCTGCTTCTCCCTCTGACCCAACCCCCTCTCATGCTCTCTCTCTCTCATTCTTTCTCTCAAATAAATAAATAAATAAAATTAAAAAAAAAAAAAAGAGGTAGCCAGCCTTTGGGGTCACAGTTTGCCTACTGCTACTTTATCCCATACTCTGTAGACTTTATCTTCCTGTAATATTTTTGCTATCTACTTTGTATTTTAGTTATTAGTTATTTCTAAATTGACTAGTATAGTGTTTTACACCTGGTAGCTAATCAGTAACTAATAAGAATAAAATTTTATACATTTCACCTTTGGGAAAATATACATCATTCCAACAACATTAATTTAGAATTTTCTCCAGAAGTGTGTAACTTGAAAATAGATATAAGAAACTGAAGAAAACTGTTGGGAGGAATCAGAGTCTTAATACATTGTTTATGCTCCCCTAATTTAAGTTTCATTAAAGATTCCCTGTGGGCAAAGATGTAAGCCTGTGAACTGCCTGTTTTCCAATGAGAACCTATCTTCCAAGTATGCCCTTTTGATAGACTGCACCTCCTAATTCTCAAATCCGGACTGACAACCTCAAGTGCTCTATTGGAAGCAGGCAGGTAGTATAGAGTAGTGAAATGGGTCAGGTATAAGACACAAGAGCAATTGGTATGGGCTGTGGTGACCTAAAGAATGCATCTAGGTAGCAACTGCTGCTTAGATCCATCCAGATTTACCTTTGAAAATGCTTGCCTATGCTTGCTAGGTCATCTGAAACTAATAATCTTATTAAACTTTGTATATAAAAATCTCTGCATTTTTAAATCTTAGTACCTAATTCAGTTTCTATTAATTAGTAAGCAAGTGCTATGAGCTAAGCCAAATAGTTCTGTAGGTGACATTGTTCTGGCACACATAGTCAATATTGGGATAAGTCAAATGGGCCTACTCCATACCTAGATTATATGTGTTAGGAAAAGAGTTTTTCCCCAAGATCAATATTAGTCTGTGTTCAGTTTCTGCTATTTTGCTTACTGTCTCACAAATAGTTCTATTTCATTGTTCTTCTCAGATTTGATTAACTGACCATTGATCATTGTTTCAGAGTGGAAGTGTTAATTCTCTTAAAATCAATAATCATAGAAATATATTAGATCACTTCCAACTGGATATAACCATTAACATTAGCATAGTGTTTGTGAATATAGATCTGTGCTGTCCAATAGAGATATAAGGCCAGTCACAAATGTCATTTAACATTTTTCAGTAGCCATATTTACAAAGGTAGAAAGATGCAAATGAAATTGATTTTAGTAACATTTTATTTAACCAATATATCCAAAACATTATCATTTTAATATGTAATCGATTTAAACAATGATTTGATTTTTTCATTCTTTTTGTAGTGTCTTCAAAATCTGATGTCTTTACATTTACATGTCAGTTTTGACCAGCTACATTTCAAGTGCTCAATAGCCACTTAAACTCATCCGCACTACTTAAAGGCATCCACCTCAGCAAGCTGTTTAACTCATCTGCCTTGTCTGTAAGGGCATTAGGATAATATTACCAAATATGGCTGTTGTGAGGATTAAATTAGACACACAGGAAGTACATAGTGTATGTCAGTGTATCCATGATGAGTAGATAGATAGATGGGTAGGTAGGTAGGTAGGTATGTAGGTAGAGAGGTAGGTAAGTAGAGAGGTAGGTAGGTAGAGTGGTAGGTAGGTAGAGAGGTAGGTAGGTAGAGTGGTAGGTAGGTAGAGTGGTAGGTAGGTAGAGTGAGAGAGAGATTGATAAGGATAATGATAAAAATATATGTGGATATAATCATGCCCCATGCAAAAACTTCAATTAGCTTCAACATAGCAAATAATTTTTTTTTTATGATTTAGGTGCCTTCTATATGCTAACTCATATTATCATATAATAATCTATTTAAGCACGGTATAGCTATTGAAAAAGAAAATGCTTCATACATCTTGAAACAATAGCAGAAAAGGGCTTCATAACTGAAGACATGAGAAAGATTATGTTGTTGTTATAAAGCTTGGTCTATGTTATTTTGTTTTCTATACAGCTTGAAGTAAAACCCATAAAGACAAGGTAGATGAACACTGAGCCTTGTTCACTCTGAAACAGTATTACTGATTGCCTTCTTTCATTTCTTTCAGCGCACTAAATTCATCCTTTACTCAAGTTGTTTACTCTGTCTAGAACACACTTCCTCTTTTCTTCTCTTGGCCAACTGGCCTCTTCTTATTCTACAGCTTTCAGATTAGATGTCCGACCTGAGGTTTACCCTGACCATCTCTCCATAGGTCTTCTCTTTCACTCTCTACCTTGTTATCACAGTTGTTTACTATATTAGCCAATGTGATGATTTGTAATTATTACTTTTTAATTTAGTTCTTTTCAGTCTCTGTATAAGACTTTTTGCCTTGTGAGAGCAGGGCTTGGATTTGCCTTACTTGCTAACAAAATCTCTGGAAAACAATGTAGGACCAGCACAGAGCAGGCACCAAATATTTCTTGAGTGACAATGAATTAATGAATGGATGTGTGCTAGTATTAGGGATTTTCAAAGAAGTCACAGGAATGACTTCTTAAGCTGGTGTATCCACATCAAGAAGCTACGAAAACGACAGTTCTTTATAACATCCACTGGATTATAAATTGTACAAGGATAGGAACTGTGTTTGGATATGAAACTAAGTGCCTACCAGCTCAGCCTGACACATATTAGACATTCATATATATTGTTGATTGAATGAATAGATTACTTTTTGATGTGAAATCATAGGCTGGACATCTATACTAGGAGGAATTTTACTCTAAGATAAAATTTAGGATGTGTTAAAAAGAAACATGGATTAAGGTGATTTAAAACCAAGATGCTGTAATAGCAATGCAGTAAAAATGTGTATTTTCTGTTAAATTTTTTTCTAAAAGGGACCTGTTGGTTTACCTGGAGAAGTTGGGACTACTGGAAGCATTGGTGAAAAGGTAATGTCTTTCATTTTTTTTTTTTTAATAGTAAGAATTCTAGGCTGAACTTAAATGAGGGACGTTCATATGGTATTTTATGTTAATTGGAAATCACTCATAGCTTAAAATGTATCATCTGTCTTGAATATCTTAAATATATTGAAATATAGCTAATAGGTTATATGTTTCTAATTTTTAAAGGGCGGATTACTCTTTAAGTTGTGATGATGTGGTCTGAAGAGAAAAGATGAAACTGATGGTTTAGATTTATGACTAGACCATTTTTAAATATACTTTATCAGAGCAAGCCTCCTAAAGGAAGCAGTTTTGAAAGGGATTAAGTTATCACTTTACCTGATCCAAGTCTCAGTCACAATCTCTTGCTTTCCACTTGGAATCCAGGTTGCAATTATTCACGGATATTCCTGGATATTGTAATGGAAATTGTAATTTGCTTAAAGATTACCTAGAAATCATTACCTTGGGAGTGATTTTCCACGTTTAGTTTCAAATTTAGGAAAGTCTTTTTAAAAAATAAAAAGTAATTCTTTACTTGAAACCACCAAGGGCATTTTAAATTGTTTTTATGGAATCTTATAATGGGCTTGTAGACAATAAACCAAAACTTTGGGTCTTTGACTAAAACCTGATTTGCTAGATATAAATTGTAAGCATGAGAGTCTTGTGCAATTACTACGTAAGGCTACCCTGTGAGTAATTAAGTAGAGCCGGGATTAGAAGTAAATTAGATAATATTCCATCAGTTATTGCCATCTGAAAATTTTAGTTTAAGTCAAAGTCAACATGTCTAAAATTTATCACTATTTTCCCACATTTAAACTGGTCTCTTCCCAATAATCTCATGTCTATTAGTATGCCTTATACCTATCTCAATTCTTCCAGTCTTCCAGAATAAATAGAGTGAAATCCATATTTGCTTTCCTTTTTCCTCCATTCTCTATGCCTAATCCTTTAGCAGGAGTTAGAGTTTTTTTCTATGTAATTCATCTTTTCTAATAGTCAATCCAAAGCCTGCCCCACCCCCCCGAGACATACTCTTATCAGTTTACGTTAAATTTACCCCGTTATATTTCTATCCTCTAATCCATCTTACGTACTACAGCAGAGGACTAATTTTGATGGGTCATGATCAAATATTTTCAAACACCATCATTGACTCCATACCGTTGACCCTATTAACCCCTCTACTTTGCTGTCAAAGTACTACATAATTTTGGCTTAATCAGTTCATCCAACAAATTTTCTAATATTCTCCAATATAAACCTGTCTCTCTCCACTGTCTCATATACTACATACTTGTTCCTATTCATGTTCTTACTGGTTTTTTTGTTTGTTTGTTTGTTTGTTTGTTTAGCTTAGAGTATCCTCTCTCATTCCCTCTACTTATTCAAAAACAAACTGTAGGACTCAAATTCTCATCTCCTCCATAAAGTCTTGCCAGATTCCTCTAATCCTTCCTGATTTCTTTCCTTCCCTGACTTAGAATAAGCACCACACAGTTTACAATTTAATTGTCTCCTAATTGATTGACCTTTGTTAACGGCATGTCTCCAAATATTTGAGAGTTTGTTAATGTCATGTCTCCAAATACTTGAGAGTAAGTCAAATTTCTGTTATTGCTCTCCATCTCTCAGTACATCGAAAGTGCTTAATATATACTTACTGATTTTTTATTAAGAATATAACAAATAGGGACGCCTGGGTGGCTCAGTCGGTTAGGTGTCTGCCTTCGGCTCAGGTCATGATCCCAGGGTCCTGGGATCGAGTCCCGCATCAGACTCTCTGCTCAGTGGGGAGCCTGCTTCTCTCTCTTCCTCTCCCCCTTCCTGTACTCGCTCTCTCTCTCTGACAAATAAATAAATAAAATCTTTAAAAAAAATTTAAAAAAGAACAATATAACAAATATAAAATGAGCTCAGTTAAAAAAAATTAGATTTGTTATTGTTTTTATTCTGACTTAGTTTCTTCTGTGCAAGGTCAAATGTTCTATACTAAAATTATGGCAATCCTGGGAATTTTAATGTGAATCAACTTAATTCTTTTAATCTGCTATGGCATATTTGATTATCTTAATTATATTTAATTGTGGTAGACTACAGAAATAAAATTTTGTTCAATGGTTATAGGAATTAGTTAATTCTTACAATATGTTTTGATACTTTTACTATCCTATTTCATATGCCTCAAAATGATAAGCATTTCTACTTATAAAAATACTTTTAGTACTTTATCCCTTGAAATACATTTTGAGGATTTTTATTGTATTAAAAGTCTAGCAACTTTAAGGTAAAAATACAAAATTTGTAAATTAAAAAGTATTGGCAGTTAGGATGAGATATGCATGTAAGTTATGATTCTGACAATTTTCCTGTCAAGGCTTAGCTCAGTCATGACTGATTAACATGCCTTAATGTTTTTCTTTTTTCTTTGTTTTAAAAGGGAGAACGTGGAAGTCCAGGTCCACTAGGTCCCCAGGGGGAAAAGGGTGTTATGGTAAGAGTCAGTGATTTGAAATATATGTTTCCAAAGAACATCATAATTCTAGAGGTGAAATTGCCTTGAATGGAATTTAAGTAAATGAAAATGTCTATTTTACGATGTATTTCCTTTAGAATTTTCCTTCCTTTAAACAGTTTACCTTTCACATGCTGATGGGCACTGCAAAGCATGAAAATCAGATGACTTGGTCAAATGAGTTAATAGTTTTAAGAGAAGAATTAAACCACCATAAATTAACTGAAATGGATGAAAAAGAAAATTCAGTTAGGATTCTACTTTTGTAGCTTATAATTTCACAAACTGAGGGTTCTAGAGGGGAGGGGGGTGGGGGGATGGGTTAGCCTGGTGATAGGTATTAAAGAGGGTACGTATTGAATGGAGCACTGGGTATTATACGCAAACAATGAATCATGGAATACTACATCAAAAACTAATGATGTAATGTATGGTGATTAACATAACATAATAATAAAAATATATATATAGCTTATAGTTTCTATGGCACATACCATCACTGCCACTCTTCCATGAGTTTGTGGTCCTGATGTAATTCTTTGATAATATGTGAAACATCAGAATCCAGAATTCATCTTACTCTCTTGCATCTTTAAGGTAGTAATAGATGACAAATATTATATATAGATTATATTTTTTCAGTTTATTAAATAGTTTCTAAACATGATAGGAACTAGTACAAAAAATATCAATAAAAGAATCTTGCTTTCAGAAAATATATCGTAATAGATCTGGTGGCATATAATACTGTCTACAAATTTATTTTACCTAAGTTATTCTTTAGTTTTAACTTCTGTATTATCAGCAAAGCACTATAAGATTTCATTTTTAGCTATGTCCAATTGTTGTAAACTAAGAAATTTAATATACCCATTAGGTTAATCAATTTTAGGAATTACTACCTACTAAGAAATCATTTTTAGCTATGTCCAGGTGCTGTAAACTAAGAAATTTAATATACCCATTAGGTTAATCAATTTCAGGAATTACTACCTACTAAGACATTCTCTAAATTAGTATTAATGCCATAAAGGGTGTGTTTCTTCTAAAATTTAACAGGCTGTAGAGTATTTGTACACATTCACATTCCTTAATTATAGAATTCTCTGGCCTCTGACAATGAAATGGCTTCATAATCTATATAATATAACATATATCTATTCATGGCATAACAAAACCTACAGAAAGATAAGATGAATATTCTCTTCTCAATAGGTCATAATATATGATTCTGTTTAGCCAATTTCTTTTCTAGGCAGAGTTAGTAATAAAAGTATATACAGCTTCTGTGTAATCATGTCTTATTCCTAACTCTAGTACATTTCCCATGGCCTTTTATATCTTGGATAGGAAAGAGAGATCTTATTTACATTATCACTTTTATTACTATTTATAATTTACTGGTTTGTCTTCAATGAAAATAATCAGATATGATAGAGACTTCATGTCTTTCATATTTTTACTCATTATAGGGATATCCAGGTCCTCCTGGGGATCCAGGACCCATTGGTCCACTGGGATTACCTGTAAGTAAAGACTTTATATTCCCTTCTAGAATGTCTATTTAAAATTTAAATCTGTGATTTTGGTTATACTATACTTTTTGTTCTTATGCAAAATAAGTAATGTATAAACTGATGAAGGCTACTTCTCAATGTAAAACACTCTAGAATATTTCATGGTATCTTAAACTTCCTCACTTCTATTTGCTTTATCATTTACTTTTAATAATCAGTACAATTTTGTAGCCTAAAACAAAAAGAAATTTAAACTTTCTTTTGAAAAACCACATATAAGAAAACAGAGTCAGCAATCAAGCATACATGTGAGCTTGGATAAACAAATCACAAATAAGTCACGACATATTTTTCTTAGAAACTTGCAAATATTCCCAAAAAACCAGATGAAAGTCAGAGAAAATGTATCTTTATTGACCAAAACTTGAGTTTTAAAAATACTCCATTTATTATATAGAGAAAGATAACAAAATCTTGCCTCTAAAGAAATAAAGCTTGCTTATCAAAATTTGGCCATTATTATCAACTTAAATATGAAAAAGATAAGCCTTAATAATCCCCTAAACAGAACTATTATCAGAAATGGTTTAAAAAAAAAAAGAAAGAAATGGTTTATGCTGTTTTGGGAAGCTTCTGTTTTGAAGACAGGCCTGACTTTCCAGTACATTGATAGGCATGTTATTGACTTCTAAAATTAGGAAGACGGATGTAGATTGGTACAGTTGCCAGTCTTTTTATTCACAGAAGATAATAAATAAATCTAAGATCCTATGAACGTTCACTGTTTTTATCTACCTAATGTCATATAGATAAATAAATTTTGTTTTCTAATTCTTTATTAAAGACTATCAAGTATAAAAATTCATTGTAACTGACTTAGTAATAAGTAACAACTTAATCTTCATTACATCTATTTGTGGCATATTTGGGGTATTTTGTGACATTTTTCATCATAACAGGAAAAATGTATTTTTATGTGATGGGATTATCATAAATGTCTAGAATAATGAGAAAGAAATCTTGCAGCAATAGCCAATCGCTTTTTTGATGGACCAAGCTGATTAGACTAGTCAGACTGGCCAAATAGGTGTCTCTTTCCACTGTGAATCCATGTGTTCCTCCTGAAAACTAGTTGGAATACTGGGAGAGGGAAGAATAGCAGAATAATGGGGAAAGAAATTATGGCGTTTATTTCATAAATAAAGCATATTTTAAAGGAGATTAATCAATTTTATTTTAAAAATTCCCAAGGAGAATTACATGTCATAAGAAAGGTTATAATTCCTATTTTGCTAATGTTCCTGTGAATTCTATAACTAATTTTTAAATTTTTAATGTGTAGGGTCATGTGGGGGCAAGAGGACCACCTGGGAGTCAAGGTCCTAAGGGACAAAGAGTAAGTTATCTAACGCAGGAAGTAATCTAATACCTTAACCTCAAAAAAATGACTTTATAAATACTGATGTGTTCAGCAAAAATAGTTCTATGTCTTCTAGATGGTGCTTGGATATTGTTGGTTTTTTCCTTGTTTTCATTATATTAGATGAACTACCTACCTACATTAATTGAAGGGTGACTCATTATCATTTGTACTCATAAAACCATACTTTTCCATTTTATGTTTTACAAATTTTACTAATTCATATAGAATTCTTCTTTCACATTCTCAACTTCCAGTTCCATTCTTTGGGAGAATTGTAAAGGTGAAGATGTTTAAATTAACTGTTTTTCTACTCACGAGAGACTTACATAGCAAGGAATAGTAACATCATGACAGAGTAAGAGCAATAGGAAGTGGAATGAAGACAAATGCAGGATGACTGTTTATTAATTATAAATCAGAAGTGATATAATCATCATCTTTTGGTGATTATGTATAAGAATTAAATTAGAAATCTTTCAATCTTTGAGTTTTTTAAACATTAAATCCTTTCTTTTTCTTTGAAGAAATAAGAACCACAATTTATTGCATCACATGCCAGGCACCTTTACATCTATTATTTTACTTAATACTTAGAACTACCCAAAGAAGATGTATTGTCTCAGATATTATAGCTGAGGAAAACAGAGCTCAGAGAGTGTAAGTATATGGCCTATAGGCACACAGAGAGAAATGACAAAACCAGGATTCAAATCTTAGTGTGTCTATCTCCCAAGCCTATGCTTATTTGACACCACACAGAATACTAAGGAGGTTGTTTTTTTTTTCTTTGATAAATCTGAATATGTGGGCTGTAAGAATTCTCCTTTCTCCTTTGGCTTTACTTTGATTTTTAGAATTAGTGAAGAAAATATTTAAAAACATGGTGTCCAACTAACAAAAGTTAAAAACAAAACAAAAACTTCATTTTACAGTTGGCAAATGAGAAAAAAGTGTTAAGATTGCCATTTGAAATAATAACTTTAGTTTCATGTCCTGTGTTTTAAGTGAAGATTGATGAAAGAGAGTAAATTTGTCTTTATTATTATTTCTTTTCTGAAAAACTATTTTCCTTACTGGGTTATAGATTTACAATTTATAAATAATCCTGATGGCCCCTTATATTTTAGCCCAAATGAGATTTAAAATAAAATAAAAAGACAGTAGATGATCTGTACCCAAACTGTCATTTAGTGGTCTATACCCTGCCAGCATTCAGTACTTGGTCAGGTCCAATGTGTTTATTCAACTTTGTATTAGTCAAAGTGAAAAAGTTCAACCAGTTTTGTGACAGTTGAAAGAAAGCAGAAATACTTTTTGCTATGTTTTACTTTTTGTTAATTAAGTAATCGAAGGCTTATAGAAGCCATGTACCTAAGTAAGAACTCCTCCTGAACCACTTGTGTTTTCTCCTGAGTCATATGGAAAGTTCATTTGCTCTGTGGTTTTCTAACTTCCCCGTGAACCCTGGGTAATTGTTACCCTTTGCTTTCCCTTTTTTTTTCTTCCAAGATGTTCTTTAAATTCATGTTAGTTAACATAACACTAACTAACATAGTGTAGTATTAGATTGAGGAGTAGAATTTAGTGATTCATCAGTTATGTATAACATCAGTGTTCATTCCATCAAGTGCCCTCCTTAATGCCCATCACTCAGTTAATCCATCCCTCCACCAACCTCCCCTCCAGCAACCCTGTCTGTTCTCTATAGTTAAGGGTCTCCTACGGTTTGCCTTCCTCTCTGTTTTTATCTTGGTTTTCCTTCCCTTCCCCTGTGTTCATCTGTTTTGTTTCTTAAATTCCACGTACATGTGAAATCATATGGTATTTGTCTTTCCCTGACTAATTTTGGTTAGTGTAATATACTCTAGTTCCATCCACATTATTGCAGATGGCAAGATTTCATTCCTTTTTATGGCTGAGTAATATTCCATTGTATAAATATACCACCTCTTCTTTATCCATTCATCAGTCAATAGATTGTTATCCTTTTCTGACTTTCCACTTTGTCCTCAACTCTTACCTCTTCAATGGTCTATCTTCCTCTTATCCTCCAAATACATTTTACTGATTCTCTCCCAAAATGGCTTCTCACAATTACTTAAAATTCATTCAGTACTTTCTAAACAAGGAAATCTTATTTAGAAATAAAGACTTTGTTTAGTACAAAAACACTTCCTTTGCAGGAGAATGTTTCAGGCAATTCCTGAACATTGAGAATACAAAAAAGAACTGAAGACCAGAATATTTAAGAATATATTATTAGAAAGTTCCATTCCAGATGGCATGTAATATCTTCCTATTTCTACTGTCTTCTTATCAATCTGTTCTCCACTATGGATGTGATCTCAATATGCTGGGTCCATTTTTCCCACTGTTTTTCAATCACACACACACAAAAAGAACATGTGTCTACTCCACTGAGATAAATGAAAATGTATCTGGCTGGAGGTTCCTGTGCTCCAGCTTTTCCCCACCACCCCAGAGGCTAAGGGGGTTGATCTTCCCAGCATTCCTATAACCCCTTCATGGCACACTACTGTGTCATAGTACCCTGGAGAGGAAGCTGTGCCCTATGCACACTAACCCTGAGATGACGCAGAGAATAATTATTATGGAACTAGTACTTATTACTGTTTTGCCTGTGACTTACACTGTTATCACATGGCCATGTGAACATCATCAATAATAGGACATGCTCTTAGGGGTCTGCCTGCCCATCCATCTGTCATTCAACTATCTAACATTTACTGGTTTCTTATAATTTGTCGAGCATTCTCCTCATACCATGGAGGATTCAACAGTAACTGTCTTTTAGATCTGGACCACATGGGTTTTACTATTTAATTGGTTACAGCCCAGTGGCTTTTGAAGTATCATACAATATTGGTACTTTTCCAGAGGACAAGAAAAGCTCAGGCAAGCAACAATGTCTGCTTTCAGAAAACAACTTCAATAAATTAATATAATGAAAATTTGTCTAACCTGCTTTGTGAAGGTTGTATAATCCTGCTTCTTATATAGCTGAAAAAGAGCAGGATTAGTTGAAAGTATCATTCTTATGGTTTGAGAGGCTTAGGTGGGAGATTTGGCATAAATTTAAAGTATTATTATTTATCCTACATACTCTAAGCTTTTTTTTTTTCACCTGCCAAGTTTGGCTGAAGAATAGTCATTTAAGTCTAGTAAAATAATTTAATACACCAAAGCTAATTAATTTAATACATACAATCATATCCATTACATAGACAATTTAGGCTAGCAGATTCTCTACTGCAGTACCGGTAAGATGGTGGCTTAGCCTTTTTGCGTCACTAGGAATCAGCACAACTTTATTTGCTGTCCCTCATGTGCATATTTAACTCACTGGGGCTAGGTAACTGATCCTTTGGTGTCTCTCCAATGTGTACTTCTGTGTCCTGTCTCCAGCTGCCCTGACAGGAGAGATGACACACTGAGCAGAGTTAACCTCTCTTTTCTTGCCCATGGATTGGGCCTTTGATCATTAGGCAAATTCAGATTTTGTACCCTTTCTCGGGAAGGTGGGTATAGAGGCGCACAACTGAGCAATTTTTTATTCTATGCTACTTAATATTAAATGAGGAAAAAAGATTGAATTAACTATATTAGAAATATGTAATGTTTTAAGATTTTCTATGCAAGATGCAGAATGGATATGACCATAAATATTCTGAATTGTGTCTTCTTCGAGGAACCGCATATCATATTGGGAAACCAGCCATCAACATTTGCATTTAGATTCAATGCGAGTACTACCTGGGTCACGCCAAGTATTAAAGAAGAGTTTTTGTGTGGTTTCTTCTCCTGAAAAAATTTATAAAAGAATAGAATGGGGGCGCCTGGGTGGCTCAGTCGGTTAGGTGTCTGCCTTCGGCTCAGGTCATGATCCTGGGATCAAGTCCCGCATCGGGCTCCCTGCTCAGCGGCGATCCTGCTTCTCCCTCTCCCTCTGCCTGCCTTTCTGCCTACTTGTGCTCTCTCTCTCTCTCTCTGTCAAATAAACAAAATCTTTAAAAAAAGAATAGAATGAAATGATTTTCCCCACAAAATCACAGATAATATAGTTTTTGTTTAAGGGAACATTTTGTCCCAGCTATATCAATCAAGAGCCAGAACAGACTGCTAGGCATAATTAGTTAGGCATCTGAGTAATTTCAAATTAATGGAGGGGTCAAGCAAAGACAGATGGATGTGGTTAAAAGGAAATATAAATATACTGAATCCAAGTTAGAAGGACATTTGTTCTGTGAATAAGAGTTGTTTTCTTTCATTCATAGATGCTTTAGCTCTTTAAAATTGATTACAAGCATTATAGAGATGGCCTTGTAATTCTCATAAAAGCTTCCTACATAAACTAGTGTGCAGTTTATATTAGTGTGATAGTTAATGATAATTTTTTTTAATTGTAGCATTTATATGAAGTAGTGGTTTTGTCTTGTATCATCTAATACTTCTAGGATTATTGATTATTCAGGACTTTTGTTAATTCTTTAACATTATTGCCTACAATTCAAGTACTTGTTATTTTATGAAACATGCTTAATTTATATAGCTGAGCTATCAGACTTTATTCCAGTTTTTAGAACCTACTTATAGCCACTTACTGTAGCCAACTTTAACTTTTCTTACAGATGATGAGGAAAAGATCAGATTTTTTTTTTTAGCTAGCATACATTCTCCAAGAGCTTTACAGATAATTGGATATTTTATTTTATTTTATTATTTTATTTTATTGAGCTCGCATGTGCATGAGTGGGGGGGAAGGGGCAGAAGGAGAGGGAAAGAGAGAATCCTAAGCAGGCTCCATGCCCAGAATGGAGACCAACGCAGGGCTCCATCTCACAAGCCTGAGATCATGACCTGAGCGGAAATCAAGAATCAGACACTTAACTGACTGAGGCACCGAGGCACTCTGATAATCAGATATTTTAAAGCAGGTATTTAAAAAATAACTTTATGCCCAATTAGATGCCTATTATAATGCTGTTGGTCTCTCTTAGAGCTTGTCCTAAAGCTTATTTTGTCTCAGGAGTCAAAGAAGGCATATAAACTAACCCAGGGGTAACTTTTACAACCAATATCAGAGTGAAACTTATGGATGCTGAGAAAGCTAAGCTTTTAATTAATTAATTTAGCCTTAACTGAAACATAGAGAGTATTAAGCTTTCCTAGAGTTCTTTCAGCCTTAACCTCTTAACCAGCAACCTTAGGCTTTAATTAATACAATTACTATACTTAGACCTTTTTAAAAAAAAAAAAACAAAAAAAACTAAAATAAATGTGGTTATCTTGTCATCAGCTTAGGAGCAGAAATTTCTTTCTTTGTTCCCTGGTTTAGTAAATGAAATAATAATCTGAAAGTATATTTAGAGTAAAAGTATTTTGACAAAAGCATTATAAAATGAGTGATTATCATTACTATGTGTATTCCTTAGTTTTGGAGGGAGCACCTTTCAATTATAATGCCAATCAGCACTTGTAAATGTTTCATATTCATTTTATAAACCTCCTCTAAACTTCAGGTCCTCTATTTCAATCTACATTCACTTGTTAACAAGATTGACCTTTGCTTCTTTTTAACATTTGGAAAAATATTATAAACTTAATAAAGCACAACTATTTGATGTCTTTATACATTTAGACATCATATGAATCAGGCAACTCATATCGGCAGGCTTCCATTTCTTCATATTATAAAAGTGGAGGTTTGCACTAGTTCAGCCTCGACATTAGGTGATTTATGTTCAGAAGCAGAAACTGGCCGTTGAGTATGAGATCTTCCTCCTGACCTAGATGCAGTCTTTTCTATGTATATATCCAGGCAGCCACTTAATCTGATTTTATGTAAGGAAAGAGATTTGCCATCTTTAGACCAAACAATTTTTTTTAAATTCTAAATTTACAACTCTGTGTCTGGGAGGACTTTTGAAGATTTATCCATATCGATGCTACCATTTAAACCTAGACAGAATGGGGGCACATTGTTAGCTCAGTCGGTTAAGCAACTGCCTTCAGCTCAGGTCATGATCCCAGGGTTCCAGCTCCGTGTTCAGCCAGGAGCCTGCTTCTCCCTCTCCCTCTGCCTACAGCTTCCCCTGTTTGTGCTCTCTCTCTCTCTCTCTGTCAAATAAATAAATAAAATCTAAAAGAAATTAAAAAATTAAAAAAATAAACCTATACAGAATGACTTCGCACTCTCTAGCACTAGCCTTGGAGATAGCTGCCTCATTGTGGTTGATTTGTCTAGAATCACATTCATTGTATTTGCCTCATTCTCCCTCTCCCTCTCCACCCAAGCAAGCCTACACTTCCAGTTTGTTTGCTATTAATGCTGTCATCACTCTACTAGTTATTATAACAAAATATCCCAGAACGAGATTTCAGGTTACAAAAGGGTTAAGTGCCTACTTCCCAATGGACACGTTTTCAGTCTAGATTTCACTTGTTTTCTGCAGTGTTTAAGAATGTTGACCATGTATTCCTTTCTTTTTTTTTTTAATTGAGGTATAGTTGACTCGCAATGTTACATTAGTTTCAGGTGTATTACGTACGTAGTGGTTTAACAACTTTGTAGTTTATGCTATGCTCGTCACAAGTATAGCTGCTGTCACCGGACAACACTCATTCCTTTTCATACTCCTTCAGCCACCTTCTGTTATAACTCCAAAAAATTTTGTGAAGTGTTTCCTTACAGCGCAGAAAGAGGAGAATGTGTTTAGAAGGTGACAGAGAAAGCGAATCAATATAGGCTGCTGAATTTTTAAGGTGAAGGTGATGTTTAGAACAAGGTCCTGAAGGATCTTTGCACTTAAAACTTCAAAGTCATCCTTTAATAATTGTTCCTGTTTTCTTCTTCAGTTACTTACTATTAATCATTCCAAGCATGTGCCCACCTCAGGACCTTTGTAGTTTCTGTTTCTTCTGCCAGAATGATCTTGCCCATATGCCATTTTAGAGAGGCTTTTCACACCACCCTGTCTAAAATAGGGCTCGCCATCTTGAATTCTCTCTAGTCCCATAAGGTCCTTTATTTTACTTCATTACATTTGACTACTCACTGTCATTAAGTTTATATATTTATTTGATTGCTTATGAATTCGGGGATGTGTCTTCTTCTCCCCACCTATCTTCTGTGCCTGAAGCAATGCCTGGCTTATAATAGGTACTCAGCAAATGTTTGTTAAATGCATAACACACTTTAAAAGTCTCTTATCTACTAAATTAAATCCATATTCCTCAACTTGATATTCAAGGTTCTACACAATAAGACTGAAACTCAGTTTTATAGTCTTTTGTGGGAAAATAAGGCAGAAAAAGAAGTTAGGGCCAGATCATGGAGTACCTTCAGTACAGACTGAGATTGAAGGGCTAGAGCTCTGGCTTTAACTTCAGTATAACCAGTGGAGCTATAGACCTCATGGAGTGTGAGCCTTCTCTCTAAACCCCTGAATGTGCCTACGAGGATCAAGGAAGGCAGTACCCTAAGAGTACCCGGGAAGAGAGTCCTATTACAGTAAGAACATAAAACTAAACCAACCTGACTTCAGATGGGATAAAAGAGAAGGAGCCTAGGGGATTCCTTCAAATCAGCATGTTGTATTGGGAAATTTGTATTACCATTCTGTATAGAAATCTTTAGGGCCTTCTGGGGGCACCTGGGTGGCTCAGTTGGTTAAGCGTCTGTCTTTGGTTCAGGTCATGATCTCAGAGTCCTGGGATCGAGCCCTGAGTCAGGCTCCTTGCTCAGTGGGAGTCTGCTTCTCCCTTTCCTTCTGCCCCTCCCCCCTGCTTGCTCACTCTCTATCTCTCTCAAATAAATAAATAAATAAAATCTTTAAAAAAAAGAAGTCTTCAGTGCCTTCTCATTACCTGTTGATTTAAATTACAAACTCCAGTCTTTCACCTTTTATGTCCCAGTCTTTCCACAATTATTTCTTAGTAATTATTTCTTACTATAGAAAATACTTAGTATAGAAATACTAAGAAATACTACTTGTAGTCAATAGACCAGCTAAACAAACTACTTTTTTCATTCTTGGATATCTTCTTTCCTGCCTCTGTACACTTTTCTCATCCTATCCCTCTGTCCAGAGTTCCTTTTAGAGCATGATCTCCAACTCTCAAAATGATATCTTTATTCCTTATACAAACATGTGGAAGTTCTCTCCCTCCTTTGAATCCTTTTAGCCTTTAAAATGCCTTACCTCAACCTATATTATCATCATTTGTGTCGTTTACCTAACCATTCTTTAAGCTTCATGAAGGAGTAATGTTCTTACAATTGTGTATCCCCGTAACACTTAATGCAGTACCTTTTCCACAGTGGACATTGTGGAATATATATAAAACAATATAAAACTTAAGAAGATTGTTGGACAAACAAGCTAGCCACTTTTAAGTTAATGTAGAATTGTTCCTAGAATAAATCGTGGATGGCTCCTGAGTAAATAAGGTCAACAAAATATTCAAATAACAAACCTATATTATAACCACCTCAACGACTGAGTAATCAGCTGTTTTTGTGGTCACCTGATTAATTATTTGGCAATTAATCTTGAAAACACAGGCTTGATTATCCCATACAAATAGGTTCATCCGTATGAACTGTATCTAGCTGTATTCTTTTCTTTGGTCATGGTATAGAAACAAGCAGAAGGAATTTGTCAAGAAGAACACAGTGTGTTCATTTGTAAGGATGCATAACAATAAAAAAATAACATTTCAAATTAACAATGGGACTTTTTTCCATCCCTAGGGACCAAGAGGACCAGATGGTGTCTTAGGGGAACAAGGTGTACAGGGTGTCAAGGTAAATACTGATTTTTTCATTTCATATCCAGTTAAGATTTTTGAGCCCATATGTGTTCTACCTGACTTAAAACTGTTGTATTTCCTTACAAAAGTATGGTTCTAAATTTTCTCTTAGTGGAAGTATGAAACATACATAAAGTTTTTACTATGCACCGGGAAATTTTTTTAAAATATTGAATTATATACTTGATGTCCTATTTTCTTGTATGTGAGTGTACGCTAGCACATGTAAGACCATAATTCACATTCATACTAACTCCTGTGGTATTGATACTTTGTTAGGGTGAAAAAGGAGATCAAGGAAAAAGAGGGCCTTATGGTCTTATTGTAAGTAGTAAAACATTTCACATTAAAGATAAATAGATAAAATCTTCCCTGTTTTTCTTAGTGTATGATTAATATTTGGTGAGGGAGCTCCGCGACCCAAACATTTTCTTCCTTATGTAGGGTAAGACTGGAAACCCCGGAGAGAGAGGAGTTCAAGGGAAACCAGTAAGTAATAAAGAATAATTAAGCTATGAATAAATTTTATTCATTTTATTCTCTGGACACAACTCTTGTTATTATCAGTACGTTAGACTAAGAGAATACCAGTTCTTTTCCTCCTTCAGTCATTAGGTAGATGTGTTACTTGTGCAAGTTGATTACTCGTTCTGCGCCTTAGTGCTACCTGTTTATAAACTGGTGGTGATAACTGTTAGACTCCACCCTAGGTATGATTACTTTTCTATAAAATCCATTTCAGAATAAAATGGTGTGATAGTATATAAATATAATGGAATATGAATAAAGCTAATATAACAAGAAATTTCTTGCCTACTTCCATTTTAATTCTATTTGACTGTCCTTTGAACCCTTGGAGCCTGGAGCTCTGTGTGTCACCAAGCCTTGGCATGCCACTGCTCTAAGAGTTTTTAAGATTATACAATACTAGCTATTTTTCTACCATCAAAACATCTTTTCAGAAGTATACAATTTTTTCCCTGAGTAGCTCCAAGTTCTTTTTTATGTTCATAGAACAGAAATAAGCAGAAGTTTGGCAACTAAAAAAGATCACAGTGTCTTCGTTCACTAACAAAGGGGAGAAATAGTAAAAACAAAAACAAAAAGATACACATATGCATATGTACACACACACATATATGCTAGTACATATATATAAATTTTTGAGTACATAAGCTTAATTGTATGAGCTTTCATACATTTCATATATTTCTGTTTTTATTTAGAATCATAATTTTTATAATTATAATTTGTAATGACGTCTTGCTTTCTCATATACATATCTATACACAATTTAAAGTTATAAAATTAGATAATAATTTAAATGGATGGCAGCTGAAAAGTGGGAAAAGGATAAGAGAAAAATGTTTTTTTCTGCTATAGTAGTTGTCACTAATGTCCCTGCATTTACTTCTTCCTCTTTGAAATCTGCTGCCCCCTGCCTGTTGTTTCCCGTAATGGCATTCATTATATTTGTCAGTGGTCAAATCTAAAATATCAGAGACCTAAAGGAGAAAAATGACTATACTGAGGGAAAAAACTTGTCTGTGACAGTGTTATCCATTGAAGTCATCCCCAAAGTACATTCTTTGAGTATTAATATTCATCATCTGGGTTTCTGTTATATCAATGCAAATGGTGTTTCTGTAGATTCTTTCCACTTTGCTACACTGTATACAAAGCTTAAAATATGTGGCAATGGTAGAGAAATTTAAAGCTCACCATGTTCATTGTTTTTATAGTAGAGAAAGGAGGCCTAGAGAAATAAAATTACTTACTCATTTTATATACTGTTGACATTCCTTAGAATTTTACTTTCATTTGCAGCCTATCAGATATGCCTAGATAAATGTGAAATGTGGTGTTTGACTTCCTCAATAAAATAAAAGACATTAGAACCATTTTGTAACCATGGCTTAAGGCAAGAAATCAAATAAATTTACTTTAGTGGATGACATGGGTTGGACATTAAATCATGAGTTTATAGTAGTTTTTGAGGTTTACATAGCTCTATAATACCTACATTTTCCCCTTCTTCTTGATTGAATTGGAATAGAATTTTGAGATCTTAAGGAAGCTAGGATCAATCAATCCAAGAAATCCAGAAGGCCCTGAAGATTTGTTTGATCCTCCACAATGTCTATAGTCATTTATGCAACTGTCGACAAGCAGGCAGTGCTGTATAATAGAAAGATACATTGAAGGTCAAATTGACATTTGCTCCAGTACATGCTCCTAATAGCTGTATAGTTTGATTAAATTAGTTAGCTGTCTGGATGATATTTTCTCTGTGTGTAAAATAAAGAGACATCTCTAAATTGTCATAATTCTAAAGCTAGGTATTAAATGAAAAACGGTAACACATTGGTTGTCGAGATAACCAGGAAAAGTACATTTGTCTATGGACCAACTCTGTTTCCTATACTTGCCTTCCATCCACACGTAGATCTGACTTAAGAGGAAAGGCCATGATCCATGGTGTTATTAAGGTGATTAAACCTGGGTAACTGTTTTTAGATTTCTAAATCTTATAAAAACTATAACTATTATTGATTTTTTAATCTAGATATTCTTTCAGTTGATGAGTTAGGGGTGTTAAATCTCCAACTATGATTTTGTTTTTCTCTGTTTCTTTAAATTTGTCAAATTTTGCTTTATATATTTTCAAACGCTATTTTTAGAGTATTCACATTTATGATTATTGTCTTCCTGATGAACTGAGCCCCTTTTATTTTTACAAAATATTTTTCTATATCTCCGGTAATACTTTTTATTCCTGATAATACTGTTTGTTTTTGAAACTGGCTTTATTTGATTAGTAAGTCTCTCCAGCCTACTTACGCTTGCAGTTTGTGTGGCCTATCTTTTCCATTTATTTACTTTCAACCAATCTGTGTTTTGGTATTTAAAGTGAGTGTCTTATAATTGGGTCCTTTTTTTTTTTTATTTATTCATTCTAAAAACCTCTGCCTTTTAATTAGTGTTTGGTCCATTTCCATTTAATGTAATTATCAATTTGGTTGTACTTTGGTCAACTATTTTATGATTGTTCTTCCCTTGTGGTGGTGCTGTTTTTGTTCAGTGCCTTCATTTGGCATTGAACACTCCATTTTAATTTAGATAATGGCTTTTTAGCTATACTTCTTTGAACTATTATTTTTAAGTGGTTATTCTAGGTCAGGACTCAGTGAACATTTTCTGTAAAAACAAGTGCTGGTCCAGATTGCACCCCCAGGCTGTAGTTTGCCAGCTGCTGGTTTAGGGATTACAGTATACATCCTAACTTTCCAAAGTCTACTTAGAGTTAACATAGTAAAACAACATAATTGCAAGAAACTTGCAACCATATAGACCCATTCACCACCAACAACCTGTTCTTTATGCTATAATTGTTTCTATGTATTACATCTATGTGTGTTATAAACCCATTTTGCAAAGTTAAAATTTTGCTTTAATATAAATAAAGTATTTTTGTTTTATTATAAGTGAAATATGTGTTTTAAGGTATTTAGGGGGAAGTAGTGTTTGTTTGTTTGCTTTTTTATTATCCGTGCCTTTACTTTTTCTGATATTCTCCATTTTTTTCTGTAAGATCTGCATTTCCAATGGTATCATTTCCTTGAAGCCTATAGAACTTACTTTAGATTCCTTAGAGTCAAACTTTGCCAGTCATGAATTCTCTTTGTATTTGTTTGTGAAAATGTCTTTATTTCACTTTCATTTTTTTACATGAATTCTTTTTTTAGGTCTTTAATTCCAATTAGTTAACATACAGTGTTATGTTAGTTTCAGGTATACAGTATAGTAATTTAACACTTCCATACATCACTCTGTGCTCATCACAACAAGTGCACTCCTTAATAACCATCACCTGTTTAACGCATCCCCCCATCCACCTCCCTTCTGGTAACCATCAGTTTGTTCTCTATAGTTGAGAGCCTGTTTCTTGCTTTGCCTCTTTCTCTCTCTCTTCCCTCCCCCCTTTTCTTGTTTGTTTTGTTTCTTAAATTCCACATCTGAGCAAGATCATATTTTTCCACTGGATATAGAATTCTGGGCTGACAGGGTTTTCTTTTATTTGTTTGCATTCAGCACTATAAAGATGACATGTCATTTTCTTTTGGCCTCAATTATTTCCAATGAGAAGTCCACATTTATCGGTATCATTATTCCCCCTGCATGTAATGTATCATTTTTCTCTGGCTGCTTTCAAGATTCTCTCTTTACTTTTGGCTTTTAGTAGTTTGACTATGATGTGCCTAGATGGCTTTTCTTTGCATTTATTCAGCTTGAGATTTACTGAGCTTCTTTTGTGTGTAAGTTTCTGTTTTCACTAAATTTGGAAATTTTTCGACTTCGTTTATTTCAATTTTTTCCCTATTCTGTCTTCTCTCTCCTTTCCTTCTTGGATTCCAATTAAATATATATTAAACATTTATTCATTCCAATTTTAATCTTTCTTTTTCCTGTTTTCTTTTTTTAATTGGATAACCTAACTCTATCTTCACTCACTTTTTAAACCCATTCACTGAAATTTTATTTATGAAATGAATTTTTAAGTTTTATTTCAGATATTTAATTTTCAGTTCTATAATTTCCATTTTTATAGATGATGTTCTTCTGAGAGTTTCTATTTGTCTATTCATCATAAGTGCATTTTTATTTACATTACTGAGCATATTTATAATAGTCACTTTAAAATCCTTATGGGATAATTCTAACATCTGGGTAATCTTGAGTTTGGTCTCCATTAATTGCCTTTTCTTGTAAATATGGGAAAATTTTCCTGTCCAGTAATTTTGAATTATATCTTGGACATTTTTTTATTATGTTCAATTAGCCAACATATAGTACATTATTAGTTGTTGTTGTAGTGACTTTTTTTTTCTTAAGGAGGCTCTACACCCAGCATGGAGCCCAACAAGGGGTTGAACTCATGACCCTGAGATCAAGACCTAAACTGAGATCAAGAGTCAGATGCTTAACTGACTGAGCCACCCAGACACCCCTATATCTTGAACATTTTAAATGATTCATCATAGATACTCCAAATTCTGTTATATTTCTTTGAAGAGTATTTTATGTTTCATTTTGTTTTTTGATTTGGCAAATCATTAACTTGGCTGCTTTCAAACTCCAGATTCTCTCTCCTCTGTGGTAGATGGCTGCTGAAATTTCTGTCCAGTTCTTTTAGGCCTTGCTAGGTTGGTTGGTGTCTACCATATCGATATATACTTCAAATGTCAGCAAGAGATTTAAGCAGAGTTTACCTCAGAATTTGAGGTTCCTCCTCTCTTGCTTTCTCTTCCATCACTTCCCAGCAGCTGTGGTCACTCCACATTCTACCCTCTGGTTCTCCATGCCAGTAAGACTGCAGATTTCTCTCCTCCTTTTTCTTAATCATCCTACATAGCTTACCTTCTGGCTAAAAGCTACATTTAAAATTAAAAATCAGACACTCACTTAGTGCCATTCCTTTCTTGTACATG